GAGGAGAGTGTTACTATCTGTATTTCGGTACTTAGCTGTGAAGTTCAGCCTGTCTCAGAGAAAAGTGCTACTTTTTAAAAAAATCCTTTTCTAGTGTTTAGTCCTTTCCTTTTTTTCCTTTCCCCAATCCTCCCACTTCCTCATCCTCTTCCTCTGACCTTTTTTCCTTATTTCACATTATCTATTACACATTTTAATCCTCATTTCCACTTTCAGTTTCTCACACCAGAGAAAGTATTCAGTATTTATACATGTTTGTCCTATGTATTTCACTTGAGTATAGCCTCAATGTGCATCCATTTAGCTATAAATGTCTTTGATTTATCATTCTTTATGGCTGAGCAGTACTCCATTTTAGTAAAAAAACAAAACAAATATTTATCCAGTCAAAAATTGATGGGTAATTGGGCTGTTTCCAATATTTAGCTATTACAGTCTGTGCTGCTGTAAACATGGATGTGCATATATCCTTGTGCTTTGATGTTTTTAAATTCTTTTGGGACGATACCCAGCAGGGGAATAGCTGGGTCAAATGGGACCTCTACTCCCGTTGTTTAGAGATATCTCCATATTGATTTCTGCAGTGGTTGCACTAGTCTGCACTCCCACCAAGAATTGAGTAGGGGGCCGGGAATTTAGCTCAGTGGTTCCACTGCCTGCCTCGCAAGCCCAAGGTCCTGAGTTCAATCCCTGTACCAAAAAAAAAAAAAAAAAAAAAAAAATGGAGAAGAGTTCCTTTTTCCCAACAACCCCTCCAGAATTTGTTATTGGTTGATTTCTTGATATCAGCCATTCTTTCTGGAGATGGAATTTCAGTATTGTTTTCATCTGCATCTCTCAAAGACCAGTGATGTTGAACATTTTTCCATGTTTATTTGCTGCTTCTACTTCATCTGAGAAATGTCTGTTCATTTCAGATGCCCATTTTTAATTGTTTTTTTATATTGAGGGGTTCTGTTTTTTAAGTTCTTTATATATTCTAGACAGTCCTTTGAAGAATATCTAGTAATTTTTTCCCCACATTGTAGGTTGTTTCTTAGCTCTGTTTGTGGTTTTTCTTGCAGTGCAGAAGGTTTTTAATAAGATGAAATCCCAGTTTTTGATTCTTTATGCTAGTTCCCATGCTACTGAGGTTTTGTTTACAAAGTCTTTTCTTACACCAATGTCTTCAAGAATTCTACCTAACGTCTTCCAGCAAATTTAGTGTTTCTGTTTTAATATTTAGATCTTTAATCCATTTCTATTTAAATTTAGTGCATGGTGAAAGATATGAGTCTAGTTTTAATCTTTAGCTTGAATTTACTGTTCTGTTTTGGAGAATGGCCCATTTGCATCTAAGATGAATGTATATTCTGATTTTTTGGGGTAGAATAGTCTGTAGACATCTAAGTCCTTTTGTTCAAATGTTTGGTTCAGTTCAAGTATTTCACTGATTTTTTTTGTCTAGATAATCTATTTGTGATGGTGGGATATTGCGGTTCCCCCACTACAATTGTATTAGTATTTATTTGGTTTTTCATGTTCATTAATATTTGTTTTATATAATTGGGTGCACTAATATTGGGTGCATATATATTTATGATTGTTATTTCTTCCTCTTGGATTGTTCACTTTACAAGCGTATGGTGACCTTCTTTGTCCCTCTTAATTAATTTTGGCTTGAAGTCTACTTTGTCTGCAAATAAGATAGATATCCCTGTTTTTTCTAGGTTCCTGATGCAAAAATTGTTTTCCATCCTTTCACTTTGTCTATGAATTGCTTTTTTAATTAAGTGTGTTTCTCATATACAGCATATTGTTGGATTTTGCTTCTTAATTCATTCTATCCATTTCTTTTGATTGGTGAATTAAGGCCATTAACATTGATGGTTATAATGTGAGAGAATGAAAAGATGAAAATAAAGTGTTTGTAGATGGGGAGGGGAGGAGGGGGTGAAGGGAGGGAAGAGGTAAGGGGAAAAAATGAGAATCAAGACTTGTCATGTAGAGGTACAAGATCCCAACAATGAATGTAACTGTACTGTATCCCTAAAATGTACCAATAAACTCAATTAAAGCTGAAAAAAAATTGGTTATAATTGATATGTATTGACTTATCCTTGTCATGATATTTTCTTGTTGTTCTTTTTTTATTTTTCCCCCTTTCCATTTAATTTCTTGCCTTGCCTGATGGCATCACTCCATTGGGCCTCATGCAGCTGTGACCCTCATTGTCTTTTTCTAGGATATTGTTTAGAATTGTTTGGTGTGCTGGTTTGGCATTCATGAAGTTTCTCAGGTTTTCTCTGTTGTGGAAGTATTTCCCCACTGAGTTTGAAAGATAATTTTGCAGGATACATCAACTAAGATTGTTTTCTTCTGAGCCTTGAAATACTTCACTCCAGGTCTCCTTAACGTGAGGGTTTGTGTTGAAAAGACAGCTGAGATTATTTACTACAGTATGTAATGTATATTATAAAGCAGATGAATCTTGTGTTACTTTGATTGTCTCTGTGCGGTAGAAAAAGGCAAAGTGGGCCAAAGCCCTCTGGTTGCCAGCAGGTTAAGCTAACTCTGTGTCTCTGTGTGGTTCATCTTCATTTGCACCTGAGTCAGAGAGAAGAAAAGTATATGTGGCTAGGTCCTGGAGCAAGGATGGCTGGGTGGGTTGGCAACAGGTATTATACTGTAGAGGGTGGGAGCACACACTCTGCATCTCTTCCTTTAATGCTAACCTTCTTTTTTTCTTCCCCAATAAGAACCTAGAAAATATTTCAAAGTATAAGCCTCAGAGGAAGCCTTGCAGCCTCAAAGTTCCTGTCTTCTGTCCCCTTTGTACCTCAAGCTGTAGCAACTAGAATTTCTTTTCTCCAAGGGAGGCATAAGAACTAGGACATCTTTTCCACCAAATAAGACATGAACTTTAGAAACATTCATCTCCATCTTTCTCCCAGCTACCCTTAACAAAAAATTATCTGACCTACTTTGATAAAGATCATCACAAGACCTCCAAATTCCAGAAATGGTCTGGCTCCTTACTGGAGGGAAAGAGCTGTTGAACAAAGAGGCCAAGAAGAATCTGGACACAGAGGCCTTGCTGGTTTCTCCCCTCATGCTGTAAACATTAGGGCACCCTTTCTGTCCAGTCACATTGCTACATGGCTCTCTGTGCCTCTTTAAACCTAAGTATAAAAATAGTTCACAGTGAGTCTTTGGGTCTATTAGTTGGGAGCCTCTTTTGTCATGTGAAGCTCTGATCAAATGAATGTACTACCTCCTGTTAGTGTGTACTGGTTGTTGGCCATGGCCCTTGACCACTACCAGGAAGCACACCAGACCCTTAGCAAAGGAGCTATTCAGAGACTAATTTTTTAGGTTATTTTATAGCCCGAACTCCATTTATTCAGCAAATATAACGGGACAGAAAGAGAAAGCAGAAATAGCTTTTTGCAAATCTGCAAGGATGTGGCGCATTTGGTGAGCTCTGAGCTGCTCTGTTTGGTGATGAAAGAGTGCCAAGTAGGTAGGACTTAGCTAGCTTTGCTTGCAGTGGAAGATGGAGTGGTTTGGACTGGAATGAAGAAAAATAGACATATTCATAGTTATGAGGTAGTCTGACAGTAGCTTGTGATTGCAGGTAAAGGAGAGGGGTTGTCATTCCTATAGTGTGTGACCTCTTCTAATACTGTGGCTAGTGCATTTCTCATCCACTGTCACAGTGAACAGATTATGAAGCCTTCCAGTAACAGCTGTTTGGGGCCTAGGGGCTAAGAGATGGGCTTTGGCATCAGACTGCCTACCTGCCTCACAAGTGAATCATCCTTTCTGGCTGAGGTCTCACAGGAAAGACCTAACACAAGACACTACGGGAATGAGGTACATTACCAAATGGCTAGCACTTAAATTTGGTAACTAAGTGCTTGAGACAGTCACTAAATAAATCACAGTTGTTATCAAAGTTACCTTTTCTGCCTTCCTTTTATAAAAGTGCTGATGAATGGAAGTGAAGATAGGAACAGTGCACAAGCAAATATGGTTTATTGGCTCAGATAACACTAAGACAAGGGGCGGAGTTTGTGGACTTGGGTCTTTCTGCATTGTCAGCTGGCTCAGAACAGCATGCAATTTAAAACAGTGCGACCAAAATAAATTTCCCTTCTGCAGGAAGACGTGGGGTCAGAAGCTCAGAGCACTCTTGGCACAGGCCCTGAGGCCCCATTGTGAGAATGCAGAGGAGACTTGAGGACCTCCTCAGCCCAGGTCTTGCTGAAGACTGGCTTTATTTTATTTTTTGTTCAAGGGATTGAACTCGGGACCTTGTGCTTGCGAAGGCAAGAAACATTGAAACTAAACACTCAGAAACACTGAGCTAAATCCCCGGCCCTATGGCTTTGTGTTTTTAAACTGTAAGAATAAAACTGAGCCAAAGGATATTTGTCTGCTTTCTTTCTTTTATGCCTTGTATACTCTTTCAACTACTTTCCAAATACTTTCTTATCTTTCCTGGCGTTTTTCATCAAGACAGCACGTGTGCGCAGAATTCCTAGGGGCAAAGCCCTATTTAAATGTAAAGCTCTTCTCTACCTCTTTCCCGGGCACCGTACCCAGGAAATAATGAGGCTGGGATACAGTCCCCCTGAAAGGCCGACAGGCGGGGAACCAGGGGCCGACCACTCGGCCTTCTGCCGCTCCTGCCTCCGTGTGGGAGTAGTGGTTCCTCAGGCGAACTGGGAATGGCCTCCGGATCTGGAAACGAGTAGGAGATCCTTCTTGGCTCCTGCCTCGCTGATAGTAATATTCGGAGATGCGCAAGCGTACTGGGAGCGACTCGTGGGTCCTCTCCAGTTTAGGCCGGTTGCTACATAAGAGTCGAGGATGCGCGTGTGCACCAGGAGCCGCTGCGGGAGGCAGTTGAGCTGTGACCGCTCGGTGCTCTGTTGCTCTTGCCTGCCAAATTGCTAGGAGTCTGGGTGATGCGCAGACGCAGAGGGAGGCCGCGGAGCCGACTGGGCCGCAGTCGCTCGGCATTCTGTTGCCCACGCCTGCCGGTTGCTAGGAGTTGTTGACGCTGCAGGCAAGCAGAGGCCTTACAGCAGGCCTCTGCTGGCCAGGGGAGCGGGGGCTGGCGGGCTCGTCTCTTTCTAGGTGATTAGTGCCTGGCCGGAGCCGAACCCGTCAGGAGCAATGGAGCCTGGGAAGGTCGGTGTGTGGCGGAGTCTTGGGAAAGAGCATGCTGTGCGTACTTCTCCGCGTGATGCAGCCTGTCCCCGGCTCTGGACCAGCTGAGCTTCTCAGACTCCTGCGAGGGATTCGAGGAAAGCAGGCCTGGGCCGCGGACAGGGGCTTTGGTGGGAGCGATGAGCCGCCCCAGTCTCTTTCTTGGAACAGTGTTTCCGCCTTGGCTGGGGTTGGAGATTTCAGGCAGCAGGAATTGCGGGATGTGTCCAAGAGCTGGTCCCGAGGGTCGTGTCTGGGGGGCGGGCTGTGAGAGGCGGGCTGAAGTGAGGGAGCGCTTAGGACCCAGCGAGTCTGAGGGGAGCACTAGAAGTGCGTTTAGGTTAAGTGCTTGTAGCACAGTCTAGGGGCATGTTTTAGGGGCGGGCCCAGGGCGAGTGCAGCTGATGTGAGGGGCGGGGTTGGGGCGTGTCCCAGGTGGATGTGAGGGGTGTGGCATAGGAGCGTCTTTGATGGGGAATCAGTGCTAGGAAAGTTCTTGGCCAAGGGGTTGTATGAGCAGCGGTGCCTTGGGGCGGGTCTGTGGGCGTGTCCGATGGTTGGGGTCCAGGAGTGGGCTGAGGGGCATGTTCCAGAGGCCAGGTGTGTGGGGCGGGGCGTAAGCCCTGGGTGTGCAGTGGGGTCTCCACTTAGCCCCACCTATCTTCTGTGCCCTTTCAGAAGCAGGAAGGGAAACCAAGGCAGGGTTGAGCACCTTGGCGGGGGGGGGGGGGGAAGGCCCAGGACGCCTGCGTTTCAGGCTCTCTCATGGTGTAACTCTAAAAGTCAAAACAACATTTGGTACAGCGTTTGAAAGCTTCCTTTTCCATTGCATAAGGTGAAGAAGTCTTTACTATTGTTTTTGTTTTGCAGTATTGAAGATAGAACCCAGGGGCTCTCACCTCCTGAGCTGAGCTGAGCTATAGCACTGGCTCTGGTTCCCCCCTGACCCTTTGTACTTTGAGGCAGGTCCTCGCTAAGTTGTCCAGGCAGTGTGATCCTCCTGCTTCAGCCTGCCTCTGTGCTGGGAATACAGGTGTGCACCACCACTCCTGGCTTTGCGACTCTTGTGTTTAGTTTCCCAGTACCTCTGTTACTCTAGTGTATGCTGACACCTTTCTTCACACGCCGAATTCAACCGGGATGCATTCTGGAGCTACAGTGGAGCCCCGCTATGTCCTTTGCTGGGTCCTTTTAGAGGCTTAGTATCTGCCTGGGCCAGTTTGGTAGTGCCAGGCCTGAGCATGCTGCTCAGCACCAGGAATGTGGCTGGTGACTTTGGAACCGATTGTAAATTTGATTCCATCTTAAATGTAAATGGTGAGGCGCTACAGTTTAGGGGGCTAAGATGGCAGTCTGTATGCTTGAGTTTGAATTCTGATTTCCTGTGCAGCTGTGGGAAAGTTACTCAACATGCTTTCTTTCCTATTCGGTAAAATGTGCAACCCAGAGTGTTGATGAGGGCGCTAAGTGAGATGCAATTTAGAAGTGCTTAGGACTGTGCCTACTGTTTTTATTAACACTCAGCAAGTGTTAACTAGTGTTATTTTTATCCACTAAAAGATGAGGAACTTAGTTTGCATACATTTCTTCCTCCTTTCCGTTTTCTTTTTTTCTTTCTTTCTGTGTGCCACTGAGAATTGGACCAAGGCCTATTATCCTACTGAGCTACACTCCCAGCCTTTCAAAAATTTTGAAATTTGAGACAGGGACTTATTAAGTTAATCAGGCTGGTTTCAAACTTGTAATCTCCCAGCTTCAGCCTCATAAGTAGCTCACCACTATTCCTGACCCTCTTGCCTTATTTTTTTTTCTCTTGTTCACCTAATTTGTGTTATATCACCCTTAGTATCTTACAGCTTTTTTCTAAGATTAGGAAGTTGCTATCATAAATTATCCCTATTTTCTTTAATTGACTTCTATCAACTTTGTACCATTCCCTGTACATTTCCATGAGTTATTCTGTACCTTAAGTTTGCTGTGATTTGTTTATAGGGCCACATATCATTATTATGTCAGTAGAATTCACTGCAGATCCAACCTGTGACTGGACCTGTAGAGAAAACACAGTCCCAGATCCCTAAACTCCTTTTCAAATAAAAATGTTCCTGGAGAGTTAGTTAGACAATCTTTTCCTATATGTACCACAAAGTAGTTTTAGGCATCAGCACACTTCAACATAGCATCTGCACACATCCCACTCCCATCTATAAAAGCAGGCTGCTCATTATGACAGCTTTCCCTAATTTTCTGTATTCAGGAAGATGTTTAGTGACTTACTTATGATAAGTTTATATTTTTCATTTGTACTACTGCTTTTCATTTGAACAAACTTATTAAGCCCCCTCTGTCATTACCTTGAAGGCAGTATTTCTTAAAGGAAAACTAACAGGGATAATGTTACAGTGAACCCTTGACTTACAAATTCGATTGGTTCCTGAGGGAAAGTTGGTTGTAAGTCAGTACAGCTGAGATCTGGATGTTTACCTGGGTACACACTATAGATAATAAGAGGCAGATGAATCTTCCATTAACCTAATTAACCCAAGTTGTTCATATGTTGGGTTGTTGTCCATTGTATTTTGTTTTCTACAAGAAGCTGTCCTTGATTGATTTGCTCAGCTGAGATTACTGTCATCATTAAGCTGAGGCTCACACAGGGCAGGAACCTGTATCCAGGGTGCTGAAAAGTTTCTTCTGTATGCAGTCATACCTGTGATTTCGCAGGCAAAGGGAGACACATGCCACTGGGAGGTGACAGGGAGATGACTGGTGGAGAAGGGGTGAACTTAATCTGTGTCACTAATTATACTTCAGGGTTCTGCAATCACAGTGTCATCTGCACTTGATCTTAGCCAAAAGGCTGAAAAGTGATTGATCACAATGTCATCTGAGTGCTTAACTGGCCATGGCTTCCATTCTACTATCACCTCCCCCACCTGTGGGGCTTGTGCTTCTGTGTCCTCGTGGCCCAGCAGCTGCTTCTCTTTGGGTGAGGGGTATCGCATGTGCCCCAGAGGGAGGTAATTGTCACCCTACTCTCATCATTAGGGTTGAATCACTGAATCTGACCTCATCTATGGGAAGGGGAATTGGGCTGGATCTACAAAGGTGGGGGGTTGTTGGAGAACTAGCAGACTGCTGTCAGGCTACTGTTCTGAGTGTAGCATTTCCCCTTCCATTCTTAGAGCAGCTTGGGTGGCTCATGAGCTAACTTCCTAGGTACTTCTTCACAGGGACCCATAGTTCATATCTTTTCATGGCTGACCTCAGTAAAGTGCTATTATGTGCTGAACAGACCCATCCTGAAGGTAGGGAACTCACTAGAGAGATGTGGTCTGTGTTTCATGGGTATCTAGAGAGGTGAATAGACCAGCTATGGAAGACAGCTCAAAAGATGTGTTCCTGTCTCAGAAAGATGCAGAGACATGACCATATTGGAGGAAAGGTAAAGAGAAAGCTTGAAAGACAGCTTGTCCTACCAGACCTGTGGTCCCAGCAAACATAAGGGTGAAGTGCAGGTTTCTGCAGGCAGCAGAGTAGCTTCTTTCTGTGCAGAGCTTGTGTGTGCGGAGCCTGTGTATTTTTGCTGAGTGAATGTGGGTGTTCATGTAGGATGGGGACACTGTTGAGCTTGTGGGCCCCCATGTGCCTCCAGGCAGACAGACAAGGTTGCTGGACCACTCAGTGGGGATCGGCAGGCTTCTTTTTCACATTGACCGTCATTTGTTCATTCAGTCCACAGGAACTTTTTCAGTTGCTATCATGTGCCTAGCAATGTGTGGTTCTCTGGAGGTGAAGCTGTTTAGCTTCTCTGTGCCTCAGTGTCCTTGTGGCAAATGGAGCCCATGACCTTCTGAACAAGGGCCATGAGATTCACAGGGTATATCTGACTCAGTATAGTGTCTGGCATTTCTGTCTGTCTGTCCATACTTCCACATGAATAGTCACCCCAAATTCTGTTGTGCAAATCATCAGCAGCCCATGTAGTTTGCTTGTGTGTCTGTGAGTCAGGACTTGTAGAAGGTATGGTAGGGACGTCGTGGTTCTGCTTTCTGACTTCTGGGGTCGGAGCTGCAGGACATGGGTCTGGGGGAGTTGTGCCAACTCACAGGCGAATGTATCATGTGGACTCCTGAGCTCTCTCACTTCTGGCCTCTGGGACTGACTGTGGGTTCTAAGGGTGCTTTGCAGAGACATTACACCTCACTTCCACCCAATGGCTGCTCCTTCCCTCAGCTGAGTCCTGAGCAGCAGCCTGAGTCCCTCTGCCCTGATGGCCCCACTGCAGCAGAAACACAGACCTCACAGCAGAAGGGAAAGAGAGATAACTGTGGCCTTTGAGGGAAATAGTCTGACACAATGTATGTTTCTTCATTGTGGTTTTTATTGGTAGGCATTTGCAGTACAGAATGGTCACTTTCCTTGTGGAGTGTCCTACTGTACAAAACACATCTTAATTCTTTTTACATCCCCTTCCTCTCCCTTCCCTTTCCTTCCCTCCATCTTTTAGTCCCCTTCTCTATTTCCTATTATCTATTTTTTATTTTGCTCTTTATTTATATTTTGGGTTTCTCCTATAAGAGAAACCATGGGATATTGAGCTTGTGTGTCTGATTTATTTTACTTAACATTATGGTCTCAGGGTGACACAATGTATTTTAAAACCATAAAATATTTATTCTTGACCTCTTTGGCCATCACTGTAACTTTTCCCCTTTATTTTGTAACACTTAATGATTTTGAAGTAGCCAAAGGTGACATTCTATAATAGTTATGAGTGATTTTATGCTAATTAAGTAATTTTTCTTTTTTCCAGTATTTCTTTTTTCTTTCTTTCCTTTTTTTGGTACCAGGGATCAAACTTGGGTCCTTGTGCTTGCAAGGCAGGCGGTGGAACCGCTGAGCTAAATCCTCAGCCCTCTTTTTTCCAGTATTAAGTATTGAACCCAAGGCCTTTGCACTCAGCTATCTCCCCACCCCTTTTTTAATTTTTAATTTTGAGACAGGGTACCCCTAAGTTGCTAAATTGCCCAGGCTGGGCTCAAATTTGTAGTCTTGCCTGAGCCTCCCTGAATGCTGAGATTATAAGAATGCATTATCACAATCAGTTTAATTTTTTAAAAATCTGTATTTTACCACCTTTTATTTCAGTAGGTATTGCTTCTCTGCCTTTTGGCTGAGATGAAGTGTATTTCAGTAGTAAAAAGTACTTTCTTGCATATCTATATTTAGTTACTATAAGTTTAGTGTAATGAAAAGCAGCTCATGAGAGCAGACAAAATTAGTTATTAGTTATTTTACACTTTAAAAATTCTGATTTTATACTTTCTTTTTAGAGACGAACCAAAGATGATACTTGGAAAGCAGACGATCTCAGGAGACAACTTTGGGTAGTGTATCTTAGAGTTCACTTGGGGTCCAGATGGAAGCTTCTTGCCTGGCTCTTCTTGAATATGGCATGTTTAGGGTGCATGTGAACAAAGATGGAGCCAAGTGGACAATGGTGCAGCTGTAAAGGAATGAGGCGAAGGCACTCTTGTTACAGTGCCTGCAGCACAGAGTTCCTTGCTCCTGCAGGCAGCAGGGCAGGGTGAGGCAGGGTTGAGGCAAAAAGCTGTGGTCCACAAATGTGGAGGAAGGGCCCTAATTTTAATGGCACCTGCTGAGTCTTGTCTCAGTAGCGTTAGGACAGCTTCATTATCTCCTGTTCTTTCTAATCCTGTCCTGTTTTGGATTTGAGTGGCCAATACATGCAAAATCCTCTAGCACGGAGCTCCATTCAATAGTTACAGAAATGCTAAGCATCACTCTATTTACTTTAGGGTTCTAAGAGTATTCATTTAGGTCCCTTCCCATCTTGTTGGATTTAAAAGCAGTTGAATCAAATCAACTGGGTATAGCTGGGCAGGACAGTGCTTGCCCAGCATGTGCCAGGCCCTGGGTCCCATTTCCAGCACTGACAGAAGGAAAGGTCTTCAATAGAAATGTGTTCTCATGGTCACAGAGGCCCCTTCTTGTGTCATCTTAGGCTGTGCAGTCTGGTGGTGCTAAGGAAGAGAAGAAGCACAGAGAAAAGCAGCTGCGCAAGGAGTCAGAAGCGGACATTACTGACCACAAGGAGCACAGGGATCCTGACCGAGATATACAGAGGCACAGGGACAGGGCCCCTGACAGAGAGGCCCGCAGCTCCAAGGAGAACCCCCGCAGGGAGGGGGACCGGGAAAGATATGGGGAGAGGAGGAAGGACTCAAGAGATTGGGAGAAAGAGAGGCCACGAGAGAAACATCGAGAACAAGATGCAGAGAAGTCTCGTAGCAAAGCCAAGGACAGAGAAAAGGAAAAGGAGAGGAGGCTGAGGCGAGAGGAGCTCCGGCAAGCTACCGCCCACCGTGACCTCCTGGAGTGGGAGGCATGGCCTGACAGAGGGGAGAAGAAGGTGCGCTCAGGTGCGTCCTTGGTCCCATGGCCAGCGGGCTGTTTCCTCCCAAGGTGTCACCTAGCTGCCTGTTACAGTGTTTTGTGAGCTGCGTGTCCTATAGATATTCTTACTTTTTGTGGCATTTTCCTCTTTAGATATGTTCTATTCATCATTTTGTTTTCTCTCATAGTTTTTATAAATGTTTTAGCTATTCTTTAGGTGTGTTACTCTGTTTTTTTAAAATTGAGTTTATTGGTACATTTTAGGTATACAGTACAGTTACATTTATTATTGGGATCTTGTACCTTTGCATGACAGGTCTTGGTTCTCATTTTTTTCCCCTTGTCCCTGCCCTCCCTTCACCCCCTCCCCCCTCCCCTATTTACGAAGACTTTGTCTCTGGTTTTTTAATACTTAGTGAAGGAACAAACTTCTCATTATTTGTTGGCATTTTACTATCGAAATATACAAGAGGTGATCAAAACATACTGATTGTTTACATAAAAAAACTACGGTAAAAGTCACATTGCCACGAATCCTCCTTGAAATACTCCCCCCCCGCAGTTTTGAACATATTTACCCCATCATTCTTGCCACTTTCGAAGCAGCTCTGGAAGTCCTCTTTCCTGAGTGTCTTTATGAAGTACGATAAAAAATACAGTGAATGCTGCTGCTGAGCACCATGCAACAGAAAGGCAGGCTGGTAAAAAGGTGACAGTATTTCCTCGTCTGCCTTATTCACCAGATCTGGCACCATGTGACTTCTGGCTCCTCTAACATCAAAATGACCAAATGGAAACATTTTGAATGAATTCAGGACATTGAGACAGCCAGGACAGTGCAACTAAAGACCCCCAGGAAATAAGACTTCTAGAACTTCTTCAGAAAGTGGCAAAACTGATGGGATAAGGGCTGGGGATATAGCTCAGTGGTAGAACACTTGCTTAGCTGCATGAGGCCCTGGGTCCAGTCCCCAGAATCTAAACAAAAACAAAACAAAACAAAAAGAATGATGAGATAAGTGTGTTCCAAGTGTGGCAAGGGGGATTTTTTTTTTTTTTTTTTTGAGACAGAGTCTCACTATGTAGCTCAGGCTGTCTTTGAATTTACTACGTAGACCTGACTGGACTCTAATGTGCAGCATTCCTCCTGCCTCTTGACTTCTGGGATTACAGGAATGTGCCACCATGAATATTGCGCCACCAGGGGGAATATTGTGAAGGGTATTGATTGATACAATGTATCTTTTGCTATAATACATTTTTGAAAAATTTAAACATTCACCCTAGTTTTTGATGATGCCACATATTTTAATTTATTATCTCAATACCTTTTCATTTTGTTTTGGTTTGTGTTGTTTTTTTTTGTGGGGGGGGTACTGGGGATCAAACTTAGGACCTTGCATCTGCAGGGCAGGTGGCAGAACCACTGAGCTAAATCCCCAGCCCCCACTTTTTTTTTGCACAGGGGTACTGGGGATTGAACTCAGGTCCTTGCTCTTGCAAGGCAGGCAGAGGAACCACTGAGTGGAATCACCGGCCCTGGATTGGTTTTTTGAGACAGGGCCTCACTACATAGTCCAGGCTGTCCTTGAACTCACTATTTAGCCCAGGCTGGCCTCAGATTCATTTCAATCCTCCTACCTCAGTCTTCCAAGTGCTGGGATTACAGATGTCAGCCAACACACCCAGCCAGGCTCATGGTTTTAAACACCACTTATCTATTCCTGATTCTGAGGTTTTGGTCCCTAATTGGGCCCCTCTCTGGATCCTAGCTGAGTGTCTGCCTGTGCTTTGAGGTCTAATGGAGATTGCAAAATTAATAGGTCCCAAGCTGACCTGGGGGCCTCATCTGTCAAGGTGATAGCAGCAGTGTCCTTCCATTCCTCAAGCCCTCTTGCTTTCTCGTCCTGATTCCTGGAAGGTCCCATGTGTTTTGTGTTCAGGATGCACCCAGAGCCTGACACTGCCTTTTGTCCCACCTCCTAGAAAGCAGTTGGTGCTCAGTGACTTTTTGAAAGAATGAGCTCTATCTTCATGATCTCTGGTAGTTTGATTTTGCCCCCTCCATCTTTGAAAGTGATTTTTTTTTCTTTTTAAGAGTAATATGCTTTAAACATTAATTTTTTTTTTCGGCACCAGGGATCAAACTCAGGACCCTGAGTTGCAAGGCAGGTGTGGTGCCACTGAGCTAAATCCCTGGCCCTTAAATTTTATTTATTTATTTATTTTTTGTTTTGTTTTTTGAGACAGGGTCTCACTGTGTAGTTGAGACTGACCTGGAACTCACTATGTAGTCCAGGCTGGTCTCGATCTCACAGTGATCCTCCTGCCTCAGCCTCCCGAGTGCTGGGATTACAGGCATGCCCCACCATGCCTGGCTCCTGGCCCTTAAATTTTTTATTATAATGTATTACCTGTACATATTAATAGGGTTTGGCATGATATCTCAACACATGTGTACAGCATGCTGAATTGTCAATTTCCTTTATTGTAAGCCTGATGATTTTTTTGTTTGAAGATTCAGAAGCAACCCCCCCCCAGTTCCTTGTTGGATGTTTCCTTGGACACCTCAGTAAAGGGGTGACTCTCTTGCGTACCTCTGCACACCACTGCTTATGCCTCAGACTCATGCTGGGTGGGCCATGTTGGCCTCTTTAGCATCAAGAGCCTCCTGTCTCTGTGTCCTTTGGTAGTGGGGTGCCCAGAGGGTGAGGAGCTGTGGGTTTGCTCCACACATTGCCAGGATTTCTTTGGGGTTCTCTGTTGTTTGGGATATTTCCCTGAGCAGCTCTTGCCCTGGTACCCAGAAACCCTGAAGGTGTTGTGAGAGGCTGATGTCCCCTAGAATTTCAGAGTTGTCCAGACATTTGCCAGATACCTCAGCAAACTAAGAAGGGAAATAATTGTATCTGTTCCTTAAATTGCCATTTTGATTTCCACTTTAACATCTTAAGTTTAGAATCTAGAACTCAGTCACTCTTCAGTTTGGAGAAGGCATTTCAGTTGAATATTTTTAGATACCTGTTAATATTGTGACATGTGACTAGATCTGTAGCAAGGTGGTAGAAGAGCATTTGGATATGCTAAAATTTGGGAATATTAAATCTATGTTGCATTTTTGTAGTAAGTAAAGTAAGAATTGAAGAGAAAGAAAGGAGAGATGAAGACCCTGAAAGAGGAGATGAAGACAGAGAAAGAAGATACCGCGAGAGAAAGGTAACTAGGCCAGGCAGGAGGAGACTGCGAAGGCCAGGCTATGGGGCAGGCATTCTGTGCTGACTCCAGCAGCAGCCCAGGTGGTTGTAGAAAATTTACAGATACAGGAAAATAGCAAGAAAACAAATACTGCCTATTCTCCACCCAGAGATTATTATTGATCGTGTTTAGATATGTATCTGAACGTGATATATATGTGTGTGTGTGTGTGTGTGTGTATAT